TTAATTATTTATATATGCCATTTAAAAATTTCTATTTATTATATTATTTCATTATATTATTTCTAGTATTTTATTTTAAATCTTTATTACATATTATTTATTTTATTATTATTTTATTGATTTATAACAAATATTAAATTTTTTTAATTAATTTCTATTAATAAGGGTTGATTCCTTAAGGTTTGTTGCTTCCTCTATCCCAAGCCTGAGGGAAGAAAGYTGGGAAGAGGAAATTAGAGAAAGTGGAATGCAGCAGTGGCAGCTTTCCCATGTCTRTTCCTGATAAAAAGATGGAATTGTGTTCCTTGGAATGGTTTTTTCTGTTCAGGATTTGGGATTTTTAAAGCCTTCCTGTCAAAAATTCCTCTCCCAGCCTGGCTCTGTCTGCGTTTCCAGATCAAAGAGCCAAAATTTGGGAATCCCTCCCTGGGATTGCAGCTGGAAGTGGTTCCTGGGAGCACACATTTCCCAGGAGCCCTTTATCCATCACCTGCTGAAGCAGCTCCAGGCTTGGTTTGATTTTATTTTTTTTAAATAAATTCCATTTGTTTTGCAAAAGGACCTGCAGGGCCAAAAAAAAAAAAAAAAAAAAAAAAAAAAAAAAAAAAAAAAAAAAAAAAAAAAAAAAAAAAAAAAAAAAAAAAAAAAAAAAGCTGGATCAAAGCTGTGTAAAGCAAAATGTTTAAAAAATGAGGGGAAAAAAGAGAATATTTCAGTGCATCAGCTTCAAATCCTCTCCCTGTTGTTGTTTTCCCTCTGAGGTGGGTGAGGATGATGGGATGGGAGTGGCTGAGGAGGGCTGGGGATGCCATCCAGCATTTCCTTGTGCTCCTTTTGCTTCTCACAGATTCCAGTTCAGGAATCAATAAATAATTGGGAAAAACCCTCTTTGTTTCAGCTGAATTCTGTACACTCTCACACGTGGCAGAGCAAAACAGGGCCTATTCCTCATCTTTTCCCTGATTTTCCTCACATTTTCCTATGGAATCAGAGGAAGGGAAGCCCTTTTTTAATCACACCAAAAAATTAATGTCAAATTAATTTTTGAATTAATTCTGAATTAATTAAGCCCCTCAGAGTTCCAAGTTTGGAAAAAATAAGCCTCTGAATTCCAAGCCCCTCAGAGCCCCTTCCCTCATCCCAAAAGGATCAGAACCCCGCCTGTATCTTTGTCGTGGGCATACAACGCCATGAAAAAACAAATTCTCTGTATTTTTCTTGTTTCTCCCAGCGATGCACGGCTGTTCCCGGGTCGTGGAGCTGCTCCTGGATCGGTAAGGAGKCTCCTCCTCGCAGCTTTTCCTCCCCCACTCCGGACACAAAGGCTGTTTGTGCCTCTCCGGGGCTGCACAGCTGCCCTGCCCGCCCTCCCGAGGCTGCCTCTTCACTCTCCAGGCTTTTCCCAGCTGCTCCAGGACCTTGGGGACAAGGATCCCTCCGGATGGGCTCCCTCTTGGTTATGACATAAAGCCCAGTTATGTAACTCGGCCCTCTTGGGTGGTTTTTTGTTTTTTTTTTTCCTGCTGATTCATTCCCGGCGCCTCCAATGTGGCCGAGGCCGAGTGACAGCAACGGAACAGATTCCCGGAGCAGCTTCCCGAGGCTGGGATTATCCCTGCTTTTCTTTGGGAAATTGCTGGGAATTGGTTTTTGAGCAGCTCAGTTCCCTTCCTAAAGGCTGGAACTGGAGCAGCTTTCCCTGGGCATCACAGCTCATCCCAACCTGTCCATGCTCAGCCCAGCTCTGTGATTTCGTTCAGTTTTAGTTCATTTTCAGTTCAATCTCAATTCACTTTTAGTTCCGTTTTAGTTCAATTTCATTTCAGTTTTAGTTCAATTTCAGTTTAGTTTTAGTTCAGTTTTAATTCCCTTTCAATTCCCTTTCAATTCCCTTTCATTTTCCTTTCAATTCCTTTTAAATTCCATTTTCTCTCATTTCACTGCAGTTTCAGAGATTTGTGGGCTCTGATTTTCTATGTCATTTCATGAGGATCTGCTTATTCCCTGCTTTCAGTGCACACATTGTCTATTTTGGACACCCTCTGGCCAGGGAAAAGGGAATTGTAAATGATCTATAGAACCCAAAGGAGCTGAAACAGATCTCCCATCCCAAAAAAACCCCACAAATCATTCTCCAGGCCCCAAAACACCAGGACAGTTTTATCCACGGCTTATGGATGGGCTTTAGATATTCCATTTTTAATCCCAGCTGCTCAGAGCTTCCTTCAGTGAGGAATTTTGGAGCTGCCACCAGCTGTGTCCTGGTTTTTATCTCCTCTCCAGATGCCAGTACACCCCTGACAGCAGGGACAGATGTGGAATCACTCCCTTCATGGATGCCCTCCAGAATGGGCACGTTGGCATCGCCCGGCTGCTGCTGCACAAACACCAGGTGAGTGCCACAATTGCTCAGCTGCCTCCTCCAGGAGCTGAGCCAGAGCTGCAGGGAGCAGAAGAAAGCAAATTCCTAAATGCAAAGAGAGAAATTGGGAAAAAAAAAATAAAATCTTCCTGCTGGAGATGAGATTTTGTCCAGTGATGTGATCAGGAATCAGTTCCTGGGGCTGGAATCATGGAATGGTTTGGGTTGGAAAGGCCTTAAAAATGATCTCATCCCACCCCTGCCATGGCAGGGACACCTCCCACTGTGCCAGGGTGCTCCAATCCCAACGTCCAGCCTGGCCTGGGCACTGCCAGGGATCCAGGGGCAGCCCCAGCTGCTCTGGAAAAGCTGAGAAATGCCACTGGTGCCACCAGGCAGCAGATGGAGGGCACAGGATGTGCCAATGCTCCAGGACAGCTGTGCCAGAGCCAGAAGAACTCTTGGAATGGCTGGACTCAGCATGGAGGCTCCTGTGGCCATGGATAATGTGGAAATATCCATCCCTGTGTTATCAGAGCTCCTCCCTCTCCCATGCTCTCAGGAATCCCAGATTTCCTCCAGGGAATGTCATTGGAGCCAATTGTCCGGAGCAGGAACCAGACCACTGCGATCAATAATTTATTGATTATTTATTGATTGGTTGCTGGATGATCCCAGCTGGTTGGGGCCCTCATGTGGTTGATTATTCCAGAGGTGCTGGGAAGTTTGTAGCGGTTTTAATCTCATTTTTCAGGCACTGAAGGTGGGAAAGGTGAGAAACCTCATTAAAGTTTCCTGGCAGTGTCAGTGCCCAGACATGGCTGATTATTCCAGAGGTGTTGGGAAGTTTCCCATGGTTTCATTTCACATTTCAGGCACTGAAGGTGGGAAAGCTGGGAAAAGTTGTGGAGGTTTCCTGGCAGTGTCAGAGCCTCCACCTGGCTGATTATTCCAGAGGTGCTGGGAATTTTGTCGTGATTTTAATTTCACATTTCAGGCACTGAAGGTGGGAAAAGTTGTGGAAGTTTCCTGGCTGTGTTGGTGCCTCCACATGGCTGATTATTCCAGAGGTGCTGGAAACTTTGCTGTGGTTTAATCTCACATTTCAGGCACTGAAGGTGGGAAAGGTGGGAAAAGCTGTGGAAGTTTCCTGGCAGTGTTGGTGCCTCCACATGGCTGATTATTCCAGAGGTGTTGGGAAGTTTGCTGTGGTTTTAATTTCACATTTCAAGCACTGAAGGTGGGAAAGGTGGGAAACCTCATGGAAGTTTCCTGGCAGTGTCAGAGCCTCCACATGGCTGATTATTCCAGAGGTGTTGGGAGATTTCCCATGGTTTTAATTTCACATTTCTGGTACTGAAGGTGGGAAAGGTGGGAAACCTC